TGGGCCTCCCCACCACCACCTGCAGCCCCACTTTCAGTGAGTCAAATCTAGTAAGCCTGGCTTCAAATAGGAAAGCAGCTTTGGGTGAAAGAAAAGCCACTGGCCCGATTAATTTTGGTCAGGAATTTCTTTACAAAATACTTGGTTTCGTGGGTAAGAAAACCTTATAATCAAAATAAAATGCCTGTTGTTAATTTTTTTTCTTTGACTTCAGCAAGGTAAATTATTTTCAAAACAATACTAAAGCACCACTGCCTTTTCACTCTCCTTCTGAGATCAGCTATATGCAGCTGCGTTCTCCAGAGCTGTGTGTGGAGGTGTATGACATCACACCTCACTGAGAGCGGGACAGAGAGGTACATTCAGCTCCCCTCTGTTGGCACTGGGCAAATGTGCTGCAAAAGACCTCTTTAAAGTGTTGTGGAGCAAAGAGGTCGCTTTCAGGACTAAGGTGCACCTGACCCAAGCCATGGTATTTTCAGTCGCCTCATATGCATGTGAAAGCTGGGCAATGAAGAAGGAAGACCAAAGAAGAGTTGATGCCTTTGAATTGTGTTGGCAAAGAACACTGGAAGTCCCGTGGACTGCCAGAAGAATGAACAAATCTGTCCTGGGAGAAGTGCTGCTGGAATCTTGGAAGCGAGAACAGCTGGACTCTGTCTCACCTGCTTTGGTCATGTTGTCAGAAGGGACCATTCCCTGGAGAAGGATATCGTGCCTGGTAAAGTGGAGGGTCAGCAAACAAAAGGGGAAAAGCCTCAGTGAAATGAATTGACAGTGACGGCAGCGATAGGCTGAAGCATAGCAAGGCTTGTGAAGATGGTGCATTACCGGGCAGTGTTTCCTTCTGTTGTGTCTGCGGTAACTGAATGGGAGGTGACTTGACAGCACCTACCAACAACTACTAAGCCAGGCTGCGAAGAGACGTGCAGAAATGGGAAGTGGAGCCACTCTTCTCCAATCTTTTTCTTTTAGAAAATATCATTTGTCCTCAAAAGATATCACCTGTGTTACTATGCCGTGGATTATTATTTTAATGAGTTAATAAACACTTTAAATTGTCGTTTTAATATGTAACATGGTAACTATCAATAGATGGTATAACTCATATAAACCAAAGTTCTCTAGGACTCTCAGTAATTTTTAAGAGTATAAAGAAGTTCTGAGACCAAACCACTGTGGAAAGAATTAAGTTTATCAAAAATATCCAAACAGTACATTTGTATCTGAAAGGGAGAGGGAAACAGTTACTTAAAACACAAATGCTAGCTACATTAACCTTCCTCTATGGGAAAAATCAATTTGCGTAGAGCTCTCTCTTTCTCTTCCCCTACAGAGGAAGAAGGAGAAAGAGAACTTAGGCAGTCTCTGCCAGTGGTGCTGTCTTCCATCAATGGCCCTTTGTTTTATCAGGAACTTTAATGAGTCTTTGGCTATGCTAAGGTAAGCCTGAGGCGGAATAGAAGTAAATGTCTCTGCATAATAAGATGGAATTCTGGGAAAGAGGGGAAGATGAAAAGGAGAAGGGGGATGCTGGGATGTCGCAATCTGGGAGAGTTGGGAAGGGTTTTTTTTTGGGGGGGGAGGTGGGGGCCAGCTGTACTGAACTGTCAATGAGTAATGCCTTGCATGAGTAGCTGATTTGGGGAGGAAAGGGAGGACCAAGATCTACATTTTCTCCGCGGAGTTCCACAGAGCAAAGAAGATTGTAGTGGAGATGAGACGGGAGTGAACCTAAAGCCTCAGGGTGTGAAGGCACCAGTGACCCTAAATACGGCAAATCCGTGTCAAAGTCATAGCATCTTCAGGAGGCCATGGACTTCCTGCAGACCATGGGATACAGGATTGAGCTTTTTGGATTTGTTTGTTGATACACTATTTTAATCTCAAAGGGCAATGGCTTCAGTTGACAGTGGACTAATAACTGTTCTTAAGTATTGTCACATCAATTCTGACTCATAGCAATCCTATGTGACAAAGTGGAACTGTCCCATAGGGATTCCCAGGCTGTAATCTTTATGGAAGCAGTTCACCAGGTCTTTCTCCCACAGAGCCACTGGTAGGTTGGGACTACCAGCCTTTCAGCCGCCAAGCACTTAGTAACCATTGCACCACCACCAGGGTCTGAAACCCAAAATGGCAGGCCATTGGTTCAAGTCCAAGAACCAGAGGCCAGATGGTGATGAACCAGGTGGAGGAACCAAATCTTGTAAGGCGCCAGAGAGCTTGCCAGAGCTTTTCCATATATATCGGAAGCAGGCTACGACTAGAAGGAACTTCTCTTTCAACT